GCAAAAGAGAAGAGGTGCTATCTAGCCCTATGGTTTTTATAACTCCCACTTGTTCCACATCGTGTTTTTTCTCTTCTACTTTCCCCGCTACCATGCAGTATAGTTCTGACCAGCACCTGTCTTTCATCTCTCTGAATGCTGCTCATACATTCTTTCTCACTCTTAATATGTCCATGCAGACCTGGCAGCACCAAGGGTCTCCCTTCAGGCTGCCCGTGGAGGTGTGAGCCACAGGGAAGCAGTCCCAGCTCGCCCTTCCCTGCTGCTTTTGGGAGCGTACAACAGCTGAGCTGCCTGGGTGTAGGAGGTTGCTATGCAAACTGCCCCCTCCTTTCTCACCCACAGTGCACTGAGACAGCATGAAAACACAGGCGGCTGATGATGCCTGGGGAGTGGGTGAGAGCTCTTTTTAAGGCTCAAATGCCTCCCCGTCAGTTCCTGGGGGTGTTGCAAGTGCTGTGTACTTTCAGCATCTTGTTTGGGGCTGGCAGAGGAAGGAGGCTCCATGTGAAATATAACTTGGTCATCAGAAACCTAATGTCTTTCTGGACTTGCATTCTTTTAGCCTGTTTCATTTTTTAAAGCTGTCGGTGTTGGAGGATGGAATGAACATAACTGTATGTTATGTCTGTGGCTTATTTATATAAATCTGGGGAACTGTGTTTTTACAATAAAAATTTAGCAAAATGTCTGTGTGTGTGTGTTTGTGTAGGAAAAGTAGTTCAAGAAACATGGAAATAAGTACGCAATGGTGTAGCACAGGCAGAGGACAGTGACAGATCTCCATCCTGCAAGTTTTCCGTGTGCCTCTCATCCTCCCTGTTCATTTCCTTTTACCAGTGCAAATCACTGTGCTGAGGCAGGTTGCCAGGCCCACAGTGCTGCTGGACAAATCCCCCAGTCTACGCAGCTCTCTAAGCAGTAGCAGCAAGGGAGCATACCTGTGTCTGCTGGTCAGCTGGTGCGCTTTGGCTCTAATTTTCAGAGTCTCATATTTGTGGCTTCCTTATTTTCAGATTTCCTCTCAGAATGTTGCCAGCTGGCACCTCTAGTGCATAGTTCAAGATGGAAGGATCTCTTTGCCTTAGTGCCTGCAGTGGATCAAGCTGGTGGAGGGTCTTTTACAATTCCTTTTGTTCCTTTTCTGAACCTCATTGTTACACTAGAGATGTCCTTCTTCCATTTCGCGTCAGGAGCTCTTCTATAAGCCATAAATTGGAGTAATATGAAAACAACTGGAAATTATTTCAAATTGGGACTGTGTGTGCTTGGCTGGGACTAATGTCCTCTCACGTAATTCCTCACTGATCAGGTGGAAGGGAGTTGTGAGGTGGGAGGGACACAAAACTACTGTTATAAGGTAGTTAGTACCGTGATACCTGGCCTGTGGTCAGGATTTCTGTGCTGCGTAGAAGAGCCCAAATCCTTTGAGCTGTCTCATGATGGGGTTGCTCTGTCTCGCTCCAGCTGGCTGCCATTACATGAAGATAGTGCTATTGACTGGCACTTTCTGCAGCTGGCAGGTGGAAAAGATTATTCTCTCTTCCACAACTTTCTGTCTCCTCTAGATTCAGAGGAAAATGTAAAGCCAGTGTCTTTGGAATGCCCAACGTTGGAGCATGATGATACCCTTAGCCATACCACAATTGCTTTAATCATGCCTCTTTCAGACTAATGAATAATTAACTGCTGTGTGCATATGCACAGACATGCTGGTCATGGGCATCTCTGCAGGGTCGCGGTGACCTGCAGATGACCGCAGGGAGCTGTTTACCTCAGTATGCAACCTCTTGGCTGCTGCCTGTTTGTTATCTCCTTGGCTACCAGCTGACCAAAGCTAGTGTCTTCATGACCCGCTTCGGCAACAAGGTAGCGGTGACTGCTCCCCAGTCTTCTCGAAGCTTGCATGTGCAAACAGATTGAGTTGAGCAAGGTGCGAATGTGCAGCAAGGCAGCTCCCACACTGCCACTCCCCCAAGGTAAGTGTAAGGTGGCTCACAGGAGAGTGGCAGGCTATTTTTGTTTCCAAGGGTAACAGCTTTCCCACAGGAAGTTACCATGAAGAGGCCAACCCTTGTTAGCTGGTTTCCAGGCCTGTCATTGGCTCTGTACATGAAAGCACAAGCCTCAGCCTCCCAAAATTCAGCTGCATGTGTCAGGGCCCCTGCTCTGAAGCAAGTGTTTAAGGTAATAAGATTGATTGTCCTGCCTGTTGCAAGTTGAGCCATGTTGTGCTGGTCCCCGTGTGCTAGAAGAAAGACTTTTGTCCTCCTTTTGCTGTAGATGTGGCACATTTTTGGCCATACCTATAATTTTCAGGGGAGTAAGGTTTACGGATCAGAAATGGTCCCTTGTTCTGTGTTTTCCACAAGAGACTCCTCTGTGGCTGATGGACTTGCTGGATCGGGACCAGAGGAGGCCATGAAGATGATTGGAAGGCTGAAGTACCTCTGGTATGAAGACAGGCTGAAAGGGTTGATGTTGTTCAGCCTGAAGAAGAGAGGGCTCCAGGGAGACCTTATAGCACCTGCCAGTACCTAAAGGGTGCCTACAGGAAAGCTGGAAAGGGACTTCTTCGCAGGGCATGTTGTGATAAGACAAGAGGAAGAGGTTTTAAACTAAAAGAGGTTTGTTCAAGTCTGAATATGGGGAAGAAGTCTTTTACAATTAGGGTGGTGAAACACTGGAACAAGTTGCCCAGAGCCATGGTGGATGCCCCATCCCTGGAAACATTCAAGGTCAGGCTGGAGAGGGCTCTGAGCAACCCGATCTAGTTGAAGGTGTCCCTGCTCATTGCAGGGGGCTTGGACTAGATGGCCTTTAAAGGTCCCTTCCAACCCAAACTATGATTTATGGTGGAGCCTCTGGGGCCTCTCTGCTTTTGACTATAAAAGTGCAGTCTGTTGCTGGAGGATTTTACCTTATGAATTTTCAGCAGAAAGCTAGGAAAGTTGGCAACAGTTGGCTTGCTATTGTGTTTCCCTCTCATTTCTTGCCCCCTGCATATTGCTGCCATTACCCATTAAAGCATCAGAGTGAGTCAGATGTAGAAAATGAGATAAAAACCGCAGGGTGATGCATGGGTGCCAGCCAAATGACTCTTTCTATCTCCCCGTCCCGTAAAGCTGTGATAGCAGCTCAGGGGGCTGTGCTTCATGACTTCATCCCTCCCTGCTGAGGGGAGATGGGCAACATCATTATCAGCTGCCAGGGAGTCCTGACTTGGAGCCTGCAGTGAAAATGTCCTCAGATGTAGGGCTCCTCCTCTGCCCCGAGGGTGACTTGAACCTGCTGGGAAGATGGAGGAAGAGCTGGAGGGGGGAGATGAGAAGAAAGAAGTGCAAACTCTACTGCTTCACTGTGATGATGTCATGGCAACAAGGTACATCGATGTGCTGTCAGGCGATTGGGGCAGGCTTTGAAGGTCTCCAGCTCTTCCCCGTTGCTGCAGGCTCGTGACTGACTCGCTGAAAAATGTCTTGGTTAATATTTTATGCCTCCATTGAAGTGCTAAGGGTGGCAAGTGCCCCACCTAAGCCCCCTGCCTCTGCTTTCCAATGGGATGCTAAATCGGGGAGGGGGGTAGGATTGTAAGCTTCCCTGGGATGGGACTCACAGTCAGTAGGGTGGCTTCAGCCCATAGCGTCCCTGTGCCTGTCTGACTCTAGGACATAGGAAGGAGGTTTCTATCCCCTCCAGCCCACTTTGGAGCTGGTTTGGGACACTGGAAGGAGGGGGGTCTCCCTCTATCCTCAGTCTCCCAGGGCTGGATCTGGAATAAAGAAATCTCTGGCCCTGCTCTGGGAGCTGAGCTCAGCTCCTTTGATGCAATCAGTTAGTACATGGATTTTGGTGGGGGGTTTGTGGTTTGGGGTTTTTTTGTTTGTTTTTTGTTGTTTTTTTTTTCCGCCCTAAGCAATGACCTAATGATCCCATGTTCCAGTTACCAGCTACCACCCCTCCTAGGTGCCTTCTTTCCAAATCGTGCATCTGGACTGGATCCAGCAAACTTCCCAGAGCAAGACGCCGTGTTCCCTTCCCCAAGGAAGCCATCTGCTTCCCTCCACTCAGCTCCTTCTGTGGGGCTTTGGGCTCGCCAGCCGGGCTGGAAAGCTCTCCTCCTCCTCGCCTGCCCCGGTTCTCATCGGCCATCTTGTCAGCACAAGGCACGGGGAAGGGAACACGGGGCTGGCTGAATCTGGGGCGGCTGATGGTGTCAGCCGGAGGCGGTTTCCAGGCAACTGTCGCGCCGTGGGACACGCTAGCCAAGAACACCGGGAACACCGCGTTCTCAGCGCACCGCCTGGGAGGGGACCAAGCCTGACACGGCACAGCATGGTGTGGAGAGGGCAGCGTGAGCGAGAGGGTAGTGCAGGGATGGCAGCAGAGGAAGGGGTCTCCAGAATATCCCCCCCGTCCACTGATCATCATACCCTCTCTGGCTTGGAGTGAGAATTTCCAAGCTGGCTCCTGGTGCAACATGCAGCAAGGAAGGATCACATGATGTATGGGATTTCACATGCCTTCTGCATCCTTTGGGAAATCAAAGAAAGGAGAAACATAATGCCAGATTCTGTACCCAAGCCCCCAGGCTTGTTGCAGGTGGTCCCGTGCTTCTCTGTCCTTTAACAAATCCAAAGTTCCCTCCCTACAAGTCATGAGCCATTTGTGTGCACTCAGCCCAGCTCTGTGTCCCTGGGTGTCACTAAGAAAGGGAATTTCTTGTAAAGTTGGGCTGCCCTTCCCTTTCACAAGCTGCCAGTGCTCCCCATGCTTAGTAGGTCCCCGTGCCCCTCTGCGGTGATGTCCAAGGCAGCATCCCCACTCCTGCCTACCTGCCTGCTTCCCCCACCTGCTTTAGAGGCTCTGGGAGCATCCCTACCCATGAACCTACCCTGCTTGGTAACCCTTCCTTACACTGCCAGCCCACCATTTCCCTTCCTGGCAATGCTGATACTCACATTCCCTTTGTTTTATGCCATTTGAGTGGTTTTTGATAGGTGCATTTAGTACAACTGATTTTGAATGGATGAAGGAGGGTGATAAAATTGCTTTGGCTAAGCAGCAGGGAAAAGATTCTCCTGGATTCTGAGTGTGAGGCTGTGATGCACATGGAGAATGGAGCTGCATAGTGCTTGGCAGGGTGGGTGCTGCAGAGGGGCAGAACTGCTTTAATGCCATGTATGCCAGGAAATGTTCTGCAGCCCTGTGTGGGTGATAGCACAGAGAGACAGGACAGTGAGGGGGTCAACTGCAGCCAGTGCTGCCCCTGGGCCAGCTTTGCAGCTATTGATTTGGAACTTGCCCTGTTCACCCTAACCTTGGCAGTGCCAGCTTGACCCTTATCAGCACTGATAAACCCCGCCACAACCTCCTGTCCCATCCTGGTGGTGTCACTCTGTGAGTGCCACACTGGCAGATCTGTCCTGTGACTCTGTTCTTGCACCAGTTGCTCTCTTGCTGCGATGCTCTAAATCCAGGACACCTCTCTTTTATTTTTACACAGGGGCTGTGGCCACACCAACTCTTTTAACCCTAGGTGGGTGCCTACCCCTTGCTGAGTGTTTTGGGCAAGGAAGGATGTGGCGCCGGCTGCAAACACTTTTCCAAAGGAAATTTAAAATCAGTCTTCTCTTTCTTCTGCTCTTGGCTCTCCTCGTGCACCTGGTGATGGATTTTGCTCTCCCTGCAGCTCACAAGCCCTGTAGCTGCAATACAAAAGCACCAAAAGCCACAGGTGTCCCATCAGGCAGCCCCATGCTGTCCGGCCTCAAAAAGCTGAGCCTGCGAATCCTTCAGGATTTCAGTGGCAGCAATAGCTCCTTGGAAAAAATCTCCCAGCTACAGGGAGCAGGGCTGCACGCAAGGACTGGAGAGCTGTGGGTCCAGCACCAACAAGAAGGCGGCAATGCGGGACGGACCAAGGAATCAAAGCTGGCGACACTTTTTGAGCATCCTCTTTACAACATTCCAATCCCAGAGGTGACAGAGAAAGATAAACTGTTTGTCGTCAACCCCATGGAGAAATTCAGCCTGCGCAGCAGCAGGAGTGACGAATGGTGAGGAGCAAGCTCAACCCTAGCTTGCTTTTGGGGGATAAGTGGGTTTGAGGGGACAAGCTGTGGGTACCAAATATGTACTTTCCCTACGGAGAGCAGCATCCTCCCCTGGAGGGGCCCCCCCTGCTGAGCATGCTCTTCTCATACCTCAAATCCTCTCTTAGCCCTGAATTTTTGGGCTGCTATTCATAAGCCTGTAGCACATGGCAAAGCCAAAGGAGATTCTTGAATTATTCATTGTATTATGTAGGGTATCTATTGGGTGGTCTCCTTCCCTTCCCCAATGCAGACTAGCCTTTGGTCCCTCTCTCTGTATATGAGGAAGTCCCCAGTCCAGATTTCTAACCAGTTTTATCCCCTCTCCCGATATGTTGAAGATGCAAAGCCTGCAATGTGGGTTATCTCTAACAGTGAGACCATTCCCATCCTGCATTTGGCAGAATATCTCCTGACCTCTTTAGGCTCGGCTGTATGCTGAGCTCACTGCTGACGGCTGCCTATTTTTATCATTGGACTACTAACCTCTAATTAGAAGGGAAGATATTAAAAGCTTTAGCGTTGTAACAGCTTCCTTATGGAAAGCACACCTTCCAAAAGTGATGCCTGCTAAATTTGGGAGAGAAGAAAAGCTGGTTTAAGAGCTGTTTTCCACAAATGGCATTTGCCTTGTTTCTGAGGACCATCTCACCTATGGAATAACCTTGGGTCTGTTTTGATGAAATTGAGGCACAGTTTGTTTTCCTAGAGAGAGACATGGATTTGGATTATAGATGTCCTGGGCTAACTGTCCCACTGCAGTGCCAGTGTGTGCTAGCACAGAGGGGGGGCAGATACTCCCACGAGCTCCTTTGAATGCCAGCTAACTGCCAATTTGCAGGATGCAAATTGACAGGGATAGTGCTAACCCAAACTTATCCCCCTGGGGAAACCAAGGGTGTGTGATAAACCTGTCCAAGGGGAATGGGTTGTTGGGGGTGGGAGTTCAGGTCAGTGCTGGGGATGGCTGGGAAGCCTGTGCTCCGGTTTTGCCACCATGAAACCTGGAACTCACACGGGGCTTGTGCAGGGCCTTCCCCACGGCTCACCCTCCACACACTGGCTCCTGGGAAGTGCCTGGGGACTGAGGACAGATCCCATTCCACTAAAAGCTGTTGTTGTTGTTGGGTGGTGGTGGCTGTCGGGCTGCAGGGTCAGCAGCAGTAAAGCCGAGACGCTCCTCCCGACAGGGAAGACGGCCTATGACACCTACCCCACCTGGCTCAAATTCCATGTTGGCATCAACCGCTATGAGCTGTACCCCCGCTGGGACCCCCTGTTGCCCACACTCCTCCAGGACTTGGCCACACAGAGGATTATCAGCTCAGGTACCATCTCCCTGCCCGCACCCCTGTCCACACCCCTGCCCCACTGCCTGCTGCCTGCCTCTCTCATCCCTGTGTGCCTCCTTTCAGTCCAGAAGTCTGGCGGGACCCAGCTCAAGCTCATCATGACGTTCCCAAATTACGGGCAGGCCCTCTTCAAGCCCATGAAGTGAGTAAAGCCTGGGACAACCCCTTACCCCACCCACATGGTCCCATTAGGTAGCAAGGAGTGGCCAGAGGGGACTATGGAGGAAGAAATGGACAATGCTTTGTGCACTGCCTCGCTTCAGCACCTCTATCCCAAAACTGAGGCAAGCAGAATAGCCCCCATTCCCTTGTCTTCCCTGGCTGCTTATGACAGCCTGGATGCAGCTTGTGATGGGGTAGTGACCTCCAGTGGTGGAAAGAAGAAGGTGGTCCATGAGGACTATCCAGGAGCCTCCAGTCCATGAGGCTTCCCAGCCCTTGTGTTGGAAGCAAGGAGTATGTGGGAGCCTGGATGGGGTTTTGGAGTGACACCACCCATCAGGAAGTGACTGGAGGAGACTGGGTCTTGCTGTGTCTCCAATGTCACCAGGGGACACAAGGTGAGGTGTGGTTTGGAACCAAGCCCACGCTCAGAGTGACCCCCACCCTCCCAGGCAGACCCGGGACCAGGAGACCCCTGTTGATTTCTTCTACTTCTCGGACTTTGAGCGGCACAACGCAGAGATTGCAGCCTTCCACCTTGACAGGTGAACATAAGCTTTACATCCAACCCTGCCTTCCCATGCTGGCAGAGCAGCAGAGAAACTGCTCCTTCATCCCATCTCTCCCTCCTTTTTGTGACGGATACCTCTTGGTGGGTTTAATAACTTGCTGTGAAAACCAGCTGGGGTCGATAAGAAATGGTTCCAAGTTCTGTATTTCAGGATCCTGGATTTCCGGCGAATCCCCCCAGTTTCTGGCCGTTTGGTGAATATAACAAAGGAGATTCGTGACATCACCACAGACAAGAAACTGGCTAAGACTTTCTTCATCTCCCCAGGTGAGCTTTCATGTTATCCATCCTCTTCTGCGGCCACCCACATGGAGCTCAGCTGGACCTGTCTGCTCCTGCCCTGGGGCAAACTATCCCTCTGGGGACTGCTCCGGCTCCTGTGGATCCCCTGCCACAGGGCTTTGCTCCTCACAGCCTTCCTTGCCATTGTGTTACCAGTGGTGCATGGCCACAGTGCATGGAGCATCCTCCCCCGGCTGCCTGCCAGACCACCCTGCCTGGGGGTCACAGGCTTGTCACCTTCCTGTTCTTCATCAACCTTTGCTTTATCCCCATGGCCAGCAGGTAACATCTGCTTCTATGGGGAGTGCTCCTACTACTGCTCCACCGAGCACGCCCTCTGTGGCAAGCCGGACCAGCTGGAGGGCTCCATGGCTGCCCTGCTCCCTGACAAGACCTTGGCCAAGCGCCGCTCCTGGCGCAGCCCCTGGCGCCGCTCCTACCACAAGAGCAAGAAAGCTGAGTGAGCCAGGGCATGGGGGGTACGGGGGGCATGGAGCAGCAGAGCTATGGGATGGGAGGGGGCTGCTCCATGGCCACTCTCAGTGGCCCCCGTTCCCTCCCCGGCCTCTGCCAGCAGGTGGGAGCTGAACCCCAACTACTGCGCTCGGGTGCGAGAGACGCCGCCCTACGACAGGGGCCATCGCCTCCTTGACCTCATTGACATGACGATCCTCGATTTCCTTATGGGTGAGCCCCTCCATTCTGGTGCTGAGGGCTGTGGAGCTCCCTTGGGACAGAGAAGCCCAAATGTCTCCGTGTCCTACAGTGCTGTGCCCTGTGAGGCTTGTTGGCCAAACTTGTTCAGGCTGCAGCTAGCTGCACTCTTACCCAAAATGAGAGGACAGGGCTGTGCCACTAGGGCAGAAGTCAAAGGACAAGAGATGCTGGGGAAATCCCAGCTGAACACCCCAGACTCAGGAAGCACCTTCCAGCATACTCCCACATGCAGCCCCTGGAAAGCCAGAGGCAGAGGTGATGCCCAGGGCTCTGGCTGCCTTTCCCGCCCCTGGGCTGCTTCTTCTTCCCTGCACTGTCCCCTCACCATCATCTGACTTGGAGAGTTTCCCATCTCCTCGTTCTTGGCCACCCAGCCATGCTTTTGCCATTACTTCTGCTCCATTTGCCACTGTTGTCCCTCTGTGGGGCTGCTGGGATGAGAAGGAACCTAGAGGCCAGTAGGGTCTCTGCTCAGTTCCCCTCCATGGCCATGGCCACCAGATGTGGCCATGGCCACCTTAGAGGTGCCTCCAGACCTTTTCCCCAGCCCTTGGGTTTCAGTCTCACACCAGGAGGGTGCTCTGTATCCCTGCTCCCATCTCCCATCCCACTAACTGATGGCAAATTTGTTGGCCCACCACAGGCAACATGGACCGGCACCACTATGAGACCTTCGAGAAATTTGGGAATGACACTTTCCTGCTCCACCTGGACAATGGCCGCGGGTAAAGCTGGGGAGGGGAGCAATCACAGCAAAGGGATGGGGGGAGACTGCCAGTCTTGCTGAAATGCCACTGTGACACCCACTGGTGGGCTTTCCCCCATTTCCAGCTTTGGCACACACTCGCGTGATGAACTGTCCATCCTGGCCCCCCTCCAGCAATGCTGCAGGTAGTAAAGGGCTGCCGCTGCCTGCCCCAGATCTGCTGTTGGGGAGAGGCTCCCGCTGTTGAGACATCTCCCTCCTCATCTTTGACAGCATCAAGAAGTCAACCTACCTGCGTCTGCAGCTGCTGGCCACCCAGCCCTACCGCCTGAGTGACCTGCTGCGGGAGGCGCTGGCCACAGATCCACTGGCCCCCATCCTGTCTGAGCCCCACCTGCGGGCGCTGGACCGTCGCCTGGGGAAGGTGCTGGTGGAAGTGGGACACTGCCTGGCCAGGGCAGCCCACCCGGATGAGGTGCTGGTGGATGATGTGGGGTCATGGGTGTGATGGGGGGCTGGGTATCCTGCTGGGTTGGGGTGTGTTTGGGTGCTGCCAAGGATGATATGGGATCAGCATGCAGCTCTGACTTTGTGTAGTGTCGGCCTTTTGGCAGTGCCAAAGCTGGTGGTGTGATGTACCAGGAAAGCAGGTTGTAAGGATAGCTGGGACAGGGAGAGATTTTAAATAAAAAGGTTGGCCTAGTGGAGATGACATGAGCTGAGATCTCCCGACCACAGCTACCTTCCCAGCCGTGGCCTATCCTCACATGCCTGGACATGTCGCTTCATCCCTCAAGAGCCTTTCAGGAAAGGGTAGGGATTTTTCCTGCCTTTTCCAAGCAAGAGCTGCCAAACTGGAGCAGTTGGCAAGCTCCTTCTGCCCCACCCCATCCCCAGTATGGTGATGCCCTGGTGACTCCCAAAAACAGAGCTGAGACTCCCCACTGCTGGTGTGCGGAAAATGAGGCAAGAGCTCCCAGCCACTCACTACTTATCCCTGCCCTGCTCTTCCCTCATCAACCTGAAAACCCCCATGGCTCTGGCATCACCAATTCCTCTGCAGCACCTGGGGTGCAGCAAGGGGGACAAGCCCCACTCTCCTTGGAACACCTCAAATTGCCTGGGAACCACTGCCAACTCCCTTACCACCCAAAAAAGTGGCTCCTGAGAAGGGGACGGATTGACCCGGGGCCATGCACCCTATTTAGTGCCTGGTGGCTCAACACCCAGCTTATCCCCTGAGCCTCCCGGGGGGTTAATCCATGTGCAAGGTTACATCAGCTGGGGCAGGTGCCATCACAAGGGCCACTGTCAGTGTCCCCAGGATGGGGCACAGGCTTGGCATCGGCATGGCCAGAGATAAATGTGCTACCGAGTAGGGAAGATGTCCTCTCTCCTAGTTGGGCACCCACAAAGGGATGGGAAGCCAGAGGAAAGGGTGAAAAAGGGCGGCTGGCACAGTGAGAGTTGGAGCTGCCCTGGAAAAGCCAGGCAGAGATTTAGGCTGGAACAAAAAATGGGCTCAAAAGGAAGAAAAAAAAAAAGAAAAGAGAGACAAAGAGGATCTGTCTGCGTTACACAACGGGGCCAGGGCCACTGAATCAGGGTTTGTTGCAGTGTGCCCCCCCAGTGCTGGCGGCACGTCCTCCTGCCGCTGCTCTGGCTTGTGCCCCAAACCCCAGCACAGGGAGGAAAAGGTTTCGGGGCTGTCTTACAACAGGTTCTACCCCTTCTGCCAGCTTCATATTATTTAACTCTTTCTATAAATACCTTTTTGCTCCATAAGCAAAGCCGAGGGGGGGCCATTTCTGCACCATGCCCCATGGACGTGGCCTAACAACCATGTCCAGACACAGGCGGCTGGTTCCCCCCACTCACAGAGCCCTGCCCGGCAAATCTTTTTCTGAGGTACCGTGGGATTTAAAACACAGGGCGTGGGAGGGCAGCTGTTTCTTCAGCCTGGTGAGTTTGCACAAGGTCCCAGCTGTGCTGCCGAGGTTCAAGGTCCCGTGGGAGCAGCCCGGTTTGGCTCACACCCTCCTGCCAAGCCGGCCCAGCCACCCGTGCAGGAGAGCAATGGTAGCGGGCTGTCTGAGGCCACGGGTCTGGGGAACAGCAGAACACGCCTGCCCGGTCAAGGCGGTGGGGCACATGGGCATTGAGCAGGGCTGCCCACGCCGCAGGGATAGGTTTGGTTGTGTCCTCGTGCCAGGCGGTGTAAGGGGTGTGGGTATTTCCCACCCCACCGGGACTGGCAACCCAGCCACCCCAGCAAAACCCAAACGGGGCTGGAGTGCAGCCCTAGATCTGGGAGCTCCCATTTTGGGCTGGCATCACCTACGCCCTTGTCTGGCAGTGTGGGCTCACTACTGCCTATGGTGGACTTGGCGAGGGGGAACCCAAGGGCTGAGGTTCTTGGTGACAAGGTCCTGGTGAACAGCAGGGGGTGAGGATGGGCCCTCGCCATTGGCCCCCCAAAACGGTTAAAATAAAATAAAGTAAAATAAAAATAATATGCCAACAGCGATAATAATAATAAATAATAACGATGATGACAAAGAAGGGGACATCGAAGCGCTCCCCAGAGGCCGGGGGGGCCGGTGGCTGCCCCCCCCTCCGCGGCGGCGGGCGGGGCGGGGCGGCGGTGGGGGGGGGCCCGGGAGGAGGGCGGGGAGGCGGGTGCCGCCTGCCCCCGCAAAACAAAAGGGAGCGGCAGCCGCGGCGGCGGCGAGAGCGGCTGGGATCAGCTAGGATCAGCCGGGAGGGACGGCGGGGGCTCCTTCCCCGCCGCGCGTGACTCGCCGGTGGGTTTGCGTGGAGCAGGGCCGGGGGGAGCGGGTGGAAGTTGCGGGAGGGCCGGCTCGGCCCGGGGCTCGGCCCGGGCGGGGGGGAAGGTGATGAGTCGGGCCGGGAGTGTTCGGAGGGACCGGCGGGGCAGCGGCTCCACGCGCGGGTGGGACCTCGCGTGAGTGGGAGGGGAGAGGAGAGGAAGAGTTTTATCGCCCTATAAGGGGAAGTGGCTCCATCCCGGGGCACCAGCTCGGGAGGGGGTTCGGTGTGTGCGGGACCCGCTGTCACAGGGGTGGGGTCCCTGCCGGTGGGTCCCTCCTACTGATAATTCCCTCTCTTTTCCGACATCCCCGCCCGCCCCCAGGTGAGCCGTGCCCTCCCCCCGTGCAGGCGCCATGTCCCGCCGCAGTCAGCGCCTTGTCACCACCCGCTATTACCCCGGGGACGACGATGCCACGACCAGCAGCAGCGGCACCTCTCTGCTGGGTGGGACACAGCTCCCCTTCAAGGAGACCGCCGGCAGGTTGGTGGGGTGCAGGGGTGGGGGAGGGCCGCCCCCCTCCCAAAGCTGGCTGGGGCTGGGCACTCCATCCCAGGGACACCAGGGACCGGGTATCCTCCCGGGTGGGGTGTCGGGATGGCTCGCAGGAGGGAGCGTGACGGGGAGCCCGGCACATTCCGGCATGGCCGCCGGCCGCCTTGGCACTGGCTGTGCCCCTGCTCCAGCGAAAGCCCCGTTCTCCCTGTCTGGGCACCTTTGCCCCGACACAGGAGCTGCCGTGGGTGGCTGGGTGCCTCCTCCCAGCTGCAGCTGCCTCCGACTGGATGGCGGGAGGCAGAGAGAGGGAGGGAGGGAGGTGCGCTGTTAGTGCCGGCCGGAAAACCGCAGCGGTGCGAGCGGAAGCGATGCCCGTGGACGGGCGGGAAGGCCTTTTGCAAAGCAGAGGTTGCACCCTCCGAGACCTGCTGCCGTCTGGTGCAGAGGGGAAGTGATGCCGGTCGAGGGATTGGGGTGAATTCCCCATTTCTCCCCCCCGGGTGTACTGTGATCCCCCACGCAGTAACCACTCATGTCTGATGAGCCTGTTCTCGCCTCCGGCAGGACGATCAGGAGGAAATCGAGCAGCACAAAGCGCCTCTCTCCCGCCCCCAGCACCCAGACCTCCTACTACAGCGAGTCCATGATGAGCGAGTCCTACCTGGGGGGCAGTCGGGGCCTTGCTGCTCTGGGCAGCTCCATGCTGGATGATGACCTGGACAGTGGCACGTACTGGGGTGAGCCCTCCCACCCTCCTGCAGCACGTGGGGGGAGGTGTTGGGGCAGCCCCCCAGGGTGGCTGACTGGGTTGCCCCCTGTGGAAGTGGTGGTGGGTGGTTTCTCAGCGGGACTCTGTGTTTTGGGAGCAGGTGGGGAGCTCTCTACCAGGAGGAGAAGAGGCACAGGGGACACAGAGTCCAGTAAGATCAACGGGCTGCTGGAGAGCAAGACGTACGACACCTATGCCTCTTCATCTGGGTACTCCTCAGAAGATGACTATGCTGGTAGGCATCACCAGCCTCTTTGTAGTGCAGGGATGCAAGGAGACATTCCTGGGGGACTGGCTCAGGGCCTGGCCATACTCAGGGTGCTGCCAATCCCCCCTGCATGCCACCTCCAGTGCAAAGCCTTTGCCCTGGGCAGCACCGTGGGATGCTGGCTCCGTTGGTGACTTGCTTCTTCCTTTCCAGGTCACTTTTACTCAGGCCAAAGTAGCTCTGGGTCAGGTCTGAGGACTGCAGCCTCCCGAGTGGGCTCCTTCCTCTGGCAGGTGTTCACCTCCCCAGGTGAGTGGAGGGCTGGCAGGGGCGTTTCCAGCAGCAGCATTCTTGTCTGTCAGTGTCTCTACTCCCTAAGTGCTGTGTGTGCTGTTCCCTGATCAGGTGAAGGGGTTTTTTCCCCTTCTAGGATCACCCCTGGGGGATGGAGGGGACATCTCTACCAGGACCCCTCCTGAGGCTTGTTTTTCCTCCTGGCAGTTCGGTTCATGACATGGCTGTTCTCAGGGCTGGTGGGTGCCTGGCGCCGCCTCACTGGCACAGCTCCCCGCCTGGACAGCGTCCCTTTCTCCAGGTGAGTGTGGTGGTGGGGCACCAGGAGGGGGGAGGTGTGTTGAAAACCTGCAGGACCCTGGAGCAGGGGCGTGTCTGATGCCAAAGCCCATCTGGACTTTGCTTTCCCTCGGCCCCCATCCAGAGGTGGTGGAAAGGTGGCTGCAGTCCTACAGGTACCTATTCCTTTTCTATGCTCCAGGCGCTACCCACGTGTGAAGAAGTCCCTGCTTCTGCTGCTGCTCCTCCTGCTCCTCGCTGCTGCCGCCTACGGTAAGCCAGCCTGACTCCACGTGTTGCCCTGAGGTCTGGGGCAGTGCAGAGCATGCCACTGCCATACCTGGGGGATGGGATGGCTCCCAGCTCAGTGCTCATGGCTCCTGGTAACATGGTCCATCTCTGCTCCACTGTGCTGGGACCTCCTGGTAATCCCAGGGGATGCTGATGGCTGAGTCTCTGCATGTCCCCCCTATCCCTGGCTGTGGCCCATTAGCAGCCTGTGGCTTTAACCATCTTATCCCTCTGCATGTCCAGGAGCTTGGTACTTCTACCCATATGGGCTGTCAACACTCAGCCTGCCTGCCTTCCCGTGGTGGGGAGCTGGGAAATTTTCCTCCTCTGATGTGCCTGGAGCAGGGGACCTGACCATGCTGGACCAGGTGAGCTTCAGCAAAGACATGGTGGTGGCCCAGGTGGGATGGGTGCCTTGCAGGGAGAGCTGGAATGATGTGGTCCATGGCTGAAGGGTTGCTTCTAGGGGATGGAGAATGGTGGAGAATGGGGCAGATGTGGAAACTGCCCAGATTGTGACAGATTGTGGTGGA